TTGAAAGTTTCAGGATTGGAAAATGAGGTTATAGTCCGATTTAGAGAAATGGTTTTAACGGTGCTAGTAATAGAGTTCGAAATCTTCGAAAGAATGGCTATTTTTATGGTGCGACCTGAGAGAATGAAGATGAACCATGAATGGCAGATGCACGGGTGTGGTAGCTTGAAATTTGATTAAGGTGAATTATTTAGATGGTGTTATGAAGACTTACATAGAGAATAGGTAACATTAAGCAGAGGAAAGTTCTAAAATGTGTCTATTATAGTGTTTTATTGAGATTTGACAATTTAATAAAACGCTTGCCTTAAATATTAGCATATAAGCTGTTAATATATCATTTATTTACATTTGTAATATTATAGCGTATAGGAAATTACATGTATTTACATTTATAGATATATACAGTATGTTTGATAAGCTTCTTTTTCTTTTAAGACTTTCCAAAAAATAAATATATGTTCTGTTGTAGTTCGCAATTGTGTTAAGAGGAAACGACTAGGAAATCGACTTATTTATTATTATTTTTTTTTTCTTACAAAGACCTAGAGATGTTTTCATATGAACGTATTTGCTACCTATTGCCTACGTATTCGTTTTTTTTAAGACTACATAATGATGTAATACCTTAATAGGTTTTTAGGAAATGCCAATGCACATGCTCAAGTTATTATTAAATAACCCTTTTACTACCTTACGCAAATATTTCATGTTATATCTTCCGTTTTTTTTTGACTACATCACTAATTTTTATTCATTTACACTTAATCATTTATTATTATTTTTTAAACATTATGATGTCAACGTTTTGTCCATCCTCTCTTTCCCTCACAAGTTCCCCTCACTTGTTTTTTTTTTCATTCTATCTTTTAGGAAAACCTAAATCACGTTGTTTTTCATAGTTATTTTCAGACATTTGGTTATAAATAGGTCTCATCACATGTACCACCTGTAAGTTTTACATTGCTCTTTGTAGAGTGATTATTCCTATTTTTGATATCACTTTTTATATATTTCAATATATTTTATTTCATGTCTGCAATAATGTTCGACCAGCAACTACTTTGTTTGGAGATGATTTTTATTGGAATGGAACCGGACTGTTTGTTACAGTCTGAGGGTTGGTTACGAAGAACCTTTCCTTTAGGCAGCTGAAGCTAACCTGTGTATAAGGTGCTTGGTAAAGACGGGAGTAATGGTAAGGTTGTTTGTGCGAGTCCGCAAGACTGGGTCCGCTAGACTGGGCGGTTTTTGGTCTGGGATGGCGACACCAAATAACCCCCTACCATCCCAGTTTGGGAAGGTACGCCACCAACCATGTTTCGCCATCCACTATCTAATTATCCCTATCATGCTGCCTATGGTTGTAATGGGTTCCTTTGTTCTTGAGTTCAACAAGAGTTCATCTCATCTTGGATGAAAATCATCATACGTTCTAATATTTGAAGTGCCTTGGTATTGGACAACATTGCAGATTTTGTAGATTCATTAAAGTCATTATATTGAAGTTGTTGAAGTTGATTTCTAAAGAACAATGTCCATGCACAGGTAGTGAAGTAGTGAGCGAAATTTATTGCGTCCAGGCCGCAAAAGCATTTGTTATTATTTGCTATTTTAAAGCGAAAAAGATAGAATGGAAATTGTCCATGCCCAGTTAGAATTTGTGTAAGAAAGTGAGACGGTGGAAACGTGATGGGTATTTTATATACAGATGAAATCCATGTAAAAAGCTCTTTTCCTTGCCCCTTTACCTGCCATTCCTGTTCCCATTGTTGTTTAGCTTCATTAAATAGTTGTTTTTTGATATATTGTTTGGAGAATGAACATGAAATATATTTGCCTTGATAATATGCGAGTTTAGCATATTTATCAGCTAATTCGTTTCCCACATTTCCAGCGTGTGCCTTAACATATACAAGTTGAATTTTATGTATTATTTTTAATTCCTGAATAAGATGTTTGATACTATGTATGTTTTTTGTTTTCGTTTCTATGTTTGCAATATTTTGAAGAAGGGATAGACTATCAGTGTATATAGTTATGATTAAGGGATGTGGTTTGTTATTCTTTATATATATTAATGCTTGCTCAAAGGCTATTCTTTCCGCATCATATATAGTCGCATATGGTGGCAGTCTAAATTGTTCAATTTTTTCTATTTCTTCTGATTCTGACATTACTACATAAGCGGCACCAACTTTTCCTGGTTTTAAAGAGCCATCTGTATATATGTGCAAATTACTAGGGACACTGATATTTAATGCATAATCAAATTTGTGTTTCAATGCTGGATGTTGAGACCAGGAGTCATATTTATAATCAGAATTATGTCTGTTAAATGTTTCATTATTACATTGGATTTCCTTATGTGCTTGGAATAATGTGAATTGCTTTGTTTCCTTTTCTAAAGTAATATGCAATGGTAGGACGTTACTAAGTATTGGAAGACTTATATTACTAGTGGTACGATATGCCCGAGTAATATTTAACAGAGGAATACGCTGTATGGATGTTATTTTTCGGATTAAATGAGAATTATTTGTAGTTTTCCACCATGCACAAGCTCCATATACACAATACCTTTCTATACATCTAAGGTAGATGTCCCTCTGCTGTTGCTGGTTTATTCCCCAATGTATTTTTGAAAATGTTGATAAGTTTACTGTATGTTTTATAACTTTTTCCCTAAGATATTCGGCATGAGGTAGGAAAGTAAGGTTACCATCGAAAATTACTCCTAATATTCTCATTGTTGGAAGTATTTTTAGACTGATATTATTAATTCGTATAGTTGGAGGACGTGTTTGGGTGATTCTTCGACCTACAGCGAATAACAAGTAGTTGCATTTAGAGTAATTGAGAGTAAGTCGATGTTCAGTAGACCAATCAGCTATAGTTTTTAAGCAAGTATTAGCAGTGTCTTCTAGCGCTCGTCTGGTTGAACCAGAGACTATTAATATGGTATCATCGGCGTAGGCTTGTATGTGTACTGTAAGTGGGAAAGTTTTATTTAAGAGTTTTGATATTAAAATGTTCCATAAAAGTGGACTGAGCGGAGAGCCCTGAGGACATCCCATCTCTACCGGGCAAGTAACCACGCCAACTGGAGATACATATGTGTTTGTTCTATTTTGAAGGAAAGATAATAATAGCTGATATAAATTTGTAGGACATTTGTGTTCGCGTAGGTATTCAAAGATGATCGGGTGCCAGACAGAATCAAAAGCTCCCTGGAAGTCTAAAGATATCAGTACTGAGTGTTTATCATTAGCTCTATTTTCTTCGAGTGTGTGTCTTATCTGATGTAAAGCATTTGCAGTAGATTTTTCATGCGTGAATCCATATTGTTTGGGATGGAATAGATTATTCTGATATAAAAAGAAGTATAGTCTAGAATTCAATAAACGCTCAAGGACTTTACCAAAAATAGAATTTAGGCATATAGGTCTGTAAGAACGGGGATTTTCAAGAGGTTTGTTAGGTTTATTGAGAAGTATTAATTTAGCTTCTTTCCACTGTTGGGGAAAATAACTATATTTTAAAGCACTATTAAATATGTTTAAGACAAAGTTTGGATGTGAAGAGAAGATACATTTAAGTAAGTTAGAAGTTATATTATCTAAACCTGGGGCGCTTCTTGGTTTTAATTTTGTTATTATGCCCGTTACCTCATTTAGGGTGAAAAAATGATCATGTAAATGACCAATATTCCTATTAATAGATATTCGTAATTCCTTTTGTACAGGTGTATCATTTTCTATGTTATCTTTTTGAAAGAGGCATTTCATTATCTCCGTTAATGACTGTATAACATTTGACGTTAAGGTTCCGTCTTCTTTTAATATGGGAGGTATGATGAGAGGTTTTCTCATTTTTTCAAATGCTATTTTGTATGGCAGTCCAAAAATATTTTGTTTAGTGTTATCTGTACAGAAGTTTTGCCAGGAATTTCCTTTAGCATTCGTTATATCTATTTTGTACTCTTGTAAAAATTCGTAGTAGGCTCGTTTAAATATTTGTTTTAATTCTGGATTTTTACAGCTTTGGTAACGGTGTCTAAGTGCTCGTACTTTTTTTCTTGTAATATCGAGTTCTGGAGTCCACCAGGGATGAGCTTTGTGTTTTTGTTTGACGTTTCGTATACATTTCTTACGATAGGCACTAAGTTTATCGTAAAATATATTTAAAATTATTTGTAATTGAAATGAAGAAGTAATTTGAGTGATCGATATCTGTTTGAACCATCGGTCTTCATGAATCATTTTAATTAAATTTAATTCTCCCTTTTTGGTTAGTCTTTTAATTGGTGCTTGCGTTGTATGAAACAGAGAAAAATATATATACCTATGGTCACTCAGTGATTCGGTTGTAAGGACCTTCCAGAATACAACCTCTGATAATATATTCAGTGAAGTTAATGTCACGTCAATCCAACTTTTACCATTTGCTGTCTCGAAGGTAGGAATAGATTCACGATTGTTTAATGTTGCCAGGTTATTAGTCGACATAAATTTGATTAGTTCTGTTCCGCGTTCATCAGTTATTTCATTACCCCATAATCTACCTTTGGCGTTAAGATCTCCTCCTAAAATTATGTTGTTACATGTAATTGTTTCCAACTCATTTTTCAAAGCTAACAAATAGTCAATGAGATTACTCGATGGGGAGCAATATGTTGAGACAAGTTTGATTTTAGTGTTTTTAGTTTCTATAATTATGATAATTCTATCTCTTTCAACTTTAATCGGAAATGGCACGATTTCAGTGTTTCTAATTATAATAGCACATAGTGGACGCGTTTTTGCAGCGAAAATGGTGTCATTAATTGAACATCCCGTTAGATTATTGTTGGTTGTATAGTATGGTTCTTGTACTAGGAGAATGTCTGGTTGAAGATCTGAGACAACCTTGGAAAGGTTATCTGCAGCTGCTTTGGAGTGAGCTAAATTTATTTGTAAAATTTTTAGATTTGATGCCATTTCAAATTAAAGCAGGTTTTTCACTTTTTTTCAGTATGCAGTACGCATTCGGCGTTTTTCTGTTTGTTGTTTGTAGAGCGGGCAAATTGTCTCGTAAAATGTATGATTCACCGCAAGAGATGTTCCTTGCTTTTCGTTTGATTTAGTGCATGCCGCACATTTTTTCTCTCGTGTGCATCTGCCTTCATGCATAGAGCCGCATCGGCCACACACTGTCCCATCTGCCTGGCAGAAGCGGCGCGTGTGACCGTACTGGCAGCACTTGGAGCACCTCACAACATGGAAGAACTCGGAGATGGGACACCGAGTCCAACCAAGTGTGAGGAAGGTTTTTTGTTTTACAATTTTGTAGATTACAGGATCTACTTCCAGAATGAAGGTCTGCGTCCCGCTGAACCGGTCAGGAAAGACAGACCTGACGGTGAGCTGTTCCTCGGTTACTTCCAGGCCATTCTGCTCCTTTAGCTTCAGAAACGCAGTTTCACGGGTGACCGAAGGGTCGACCCCCGTGACGCGAAACTGAGGCCTGAAGCGCACCGGGAACTTTGGTGTTAGTATGTCCTTCACCGTCTCATCTCCCTCGATGGCTGATTTAAGCCTATCGAGGCCTTCCCTGTTCGACGACTGGACGCTGACGCCATTTGATGAAATGTTTCGTACCGATACATCCTGTATGTTTAAAGTGACGGGGCTGAATCGTGTGGTCAAGGTCGCCCGGGTGTTTACATCTGGTTTCCCATAGACCAAAAGAGTCTCTCGGTGTTCCTGGACGGGCACTGAATGCGTGCTCGCATCAGCCACCGTCGCGGGAAGGGGACCAGAAGTGCCGGCGAGAGCGCCTGGGCCCGCGAGAACCGAGGAGTATGTCGCCCGCACTCCCGGCCCCCCCCCCTCCCGGAGGTCCCGCAGCTGGTCCACCTTCCCCTGAAGGTGGGCCACCTCCATGGAAACGAGCGTCAATGCGTCGCCGATTCCATTCACGCTCTTACTCAGGTCCGTCCAGGATTCGTGTGAGAGGCTCTTAGCGTGGCGCTTCATCAGAGTGATCATGGAGTCTTTGAGCACCGCGTATTGCTTCAGCGCGGACGCCACGACTGGGTTTACACCAGGCGCAGCGTCCAGCAGCGAAGTCACCGCGGTTGACTCACTCTGGGAGTCACGATCTGGTGTGACTGAGGCTACTTCACTCATTATGCTACTCAAAATCAAGCGGCAACACTCAATTAGAGTGGCAATACTCAAATTAAAACGGTAATTATTACACCGCTGCAATATGGCTGTAGTGCAACCAATGATTCTAAATGTCAAATTTAGGAAAAATTAATGCGTTAACTGTCATAAATGTAATATCAGGGTTATCGCTAGGTTAGAAATCGTATCGCTAAGTTGTCTTTAGGAAATAGTAGCTACAATTTAAAGAAAAATAGTTGAAACGATACAGCTTACAAATTGAAAGTCTCGGTGGTCTCGTCTTCTTCTTCCTCCCCAGTAGTAGATAGGGACAATTTTTAAGTGAGAGAAAAATGAATAAAAATAAATATATTCTCTCCACCTGCACCACCAGACGGTATAACAGGTTTAATCCAATTGAAATTAAAAGAATAGGATTCAAAAGAATCAAGACGATTTTTCTTGGTAAAAGCCAATTTAAGAAAAATAATTTGGGAAGCAGCAAACCACAGTTAAGCAACGGGCCTAGATGTATCAGCGGGCGTTTATTATGTTACGAAAGAAAAATTCAGAAAAGGAAAAAAAAATAATTTCTTCCAGCGATCCGTTCTTCTTGAAAGAGACATTTGCCGCTTCCCTCTTCAACTCCGAAGACGACTCGGTCCTGATTCTTCTGTACCTGTGATCTCAAAAATAAACAAAATATATATAAAAAGGTATTAGTAGTGAATATGCATAGATAAATGTGTTATGTAATATAAAGTTTTTCCACACATATACAGATATATACTCATACATATATATACATATATATGCATATATATATATATACAGACACACACATACACACACATACCTATACCTATATGTATACCCACTTACATATATATACATATACACATAATATACTTACACTTAGCACACATATATACGTATTTACATTTGTTTTTGAGAAGTCTAATAAGATATGTCTTTGTTTTATTGGTACCCCTCTTATTTATTTGTATAGTGTTTTATACATAGTTTCTGTTTTTGGTAACGTGAAAAGAATGATAAAATGGGAAGAATAGGAGTAGGATGATGTAAATATTACATATTTACATATTATATACACTGCTGGATCACATACCTCGAAATAGCCACCTAATTTTTTTTTTTTGAGTCAATGAATGTCCCGTTCGGAAGGGCGGGACAACAATCTCTCACTTATCTTTATTTTCTCTGATAGCATTTATTTGTATAGATGTAATTTTTATGGTATTGTTTATGTAATATTCCAATAATGAAGTCCTTTGTGTTAGGCATTGTAAATAAAGTCGTTTTTACATTTTATTTCGTTTCATTTTTTTTCCGTCTGCTTTACCTTCCATATCTCAACATTCTTGACTCCTTTTCTATATTCTCAATGCTTATTAAAGAATCAGTGACCGCCGATTACCTCAATTCCCTTCACCTTCCCCTTTAGTTACTACTATTAATATTTTACTATGACTGGCTGAAAGGTATGATCGGAGAAACTGCTATGTGGGAGGGCACCCTCTTTCTTTCGTCGTAGGTTATGGAGGTGTATATTTGTAGAGTATTAGATATAAATAATGGAAGCCTAGGGCTACGGAGCTAGTCCGCGCCCTCCTGAGAAAACATGGGGTCTTCCAAGCATGCAAGGTAAAAGTGATTGTAATAGAAGCCCGGGCCCCGGATCTGGTCCGTGCCCCCTAAGTAAAATGGGTCTTCCAACTGCATGCGTTTTATTCCAACACTTTTTCAAGAAAGGTGGAAGCAATAGAAGTCTAGGACTGCGACATTAGTCTGTGTCCTGTTTTCGAAGAGCTTCTATGCATGTAGAATATGACTGGAAGCCCGGAAACCGGAACTAGTCCGTTCTTATCCGATTGGGTCTTCCATTACCATGTCGTTGAGTTGGGTTATAATTCCCATGTCGCCCTCCAAGGCTAGATGATGCAAAATTATTAACAAATGTTTAAGGTATATGCAAGTAAAAAAAAAAATTTTTTTTTTCGCCATGGCCAGCTTTGCAGACATTCCAGACCAATCTTAGAGCCAGGTTACATCAAAATTGTTTCCCAGACTATTTTAATCTAATGTTATATTTATGTGCCGAATCATATCTATTAAGATATCTAATTTGGCCTTATATTGCAGTACCTTTTGTTTCTGATGAGTATTATTTAGTGTCAAATTTAGTTGGTTCATATATTTTAGAGTAGCTGGGCAAGAATCGAAATAATGCGACAAATCACTGCATTCTATTTCACAAAAACAGTCTTTATTACTTCTAATATTAAAGCGATAAAAATAGAAAGGAAATCTTCCATGACCCGTAAGTAATTGTGTGAGATAATATCCGGGAGGAAAGCAAGGTGGAATGCTCAACGTGGATGGAACCCATTGATATAAATGACAATGGGCACCATCCACCCCCCAATCCCTATTCCACACCAATCGGGCCTGATTTAGAAGATGAGTTTTAATATATTTTTTTGACTTCTTCATTGGGACATAAATACCATATCTACGGGCTGAATCTGCGAATTGATCTGCCAATTCATTTCCAAAATTGCCAGAATGTCCTCTGACGAAATAAAAGAATATTTTACATACTTGTTCAAGAGCGACAATGTTGTTTTTTAATTTGCATATGATTGGGTTATTATTAATGGGATTTGCTAAAGCCTGTAAGACTGAAAGACTATCTGTATAGACACTGCAGTCCCGCCCCCCGTTTACTGTTTTTAGATATTCGAGGCCTTCCAAAATGGCAGTTGCCTCAGCATCAAAAATTGTGCTATATGATGGTAAAGTGTATCTGCCAATTTGTAAAATTTTTCTATTTTGATTTAAGGATACGAATGCGGCTCCTATTTGTCCAAGGCTAGCAGATCCGTCGGTGTATACATTAATATTATGAAGTATTTCACTGGATTCTTTTTGAGTAAAATGTTGATATGTAATGGCATATCTTTTACTGGGATGTATATTCCATAAATCAAAAGGATATTCTACTTTGTTAGAGTTTACATTCCAGTCATAAAATTGTGTATTTTGTTTTAACTGGAATAATTTGAACATGAAAACCTCAATGTTTAAAGTTATGTGAATGGGTATTACATTGCATAATATTGGTAGGTTTATGTTGGATACGGTGTGGAAACCATGGCATATTTTTAACAGAGGCACGCGTTGGACAGACATCATTCCTCTCTTCAAATGTGAGGATCGCTCCGGCTTCCACCATACCGGAGCTCCATAGACCATATATCTCTCTATTGTTTGGAGATAAATTTTACGAAATTGGGAAGAGGTAATGCCCCACTGACCGGTTGAGAATCGGGAAAGATTAATTGTATGTTGAAGAACTTTAGATTTGAGATATTTTACATGAGGTAGAAAGGATAAGTGAGAATCAAAAACTACTCCTAAGATCTTTAGCTCTTTTTTAAATGTGAGCTTGTGTTGATGAAAAATAATTGTTGGTGGTCGATTTTGATATTTTATTCCTTTTGATATTAAAAGACATAAACACTTACTGTAATTAAATATCAACTTCCTATCATGTGCCCAATCATGAATTGTAGAAAGTATGTTTTGAGCCCTTGTTTCAATCTCTCTTCTAGAATTACCTTTAATAGCCAAAATTATGTCATCAGCAAATGCCTGTATATGTGTATGTGATGGAAATTGTATGCCTAAGAGATCACTTATTAGAATGTTCCATAGGATTGGACTCAAAGGGGAACCTTGAGGGCATCCCAAAGAGACTTCTTTATTTACTTCAATTAAATTAGATGTTATATATGTTACTGACCGGCCTACAAGAAAAGAGGATAATATATTGTAAATGTTGTCTGGGCATTTGTGAAGTGTCAAATAATTTAAAACTAATGGATAACAGAGAGAGTCAAATGCTCCTGAAAAGTCCAAAGAGATTATTATTGCTAGGTTGGAATTTCCCTTAATATATTCGATATGTTGAACGAGTTTATATAATGCCATAGTAGATGATCTATTGTGGGTAAACCCGTACTGATTAGGATGTATTAATTTAGAACATACAAGAAAAAAATACAGTCTTGTATATATTAGCTTTTCTAAAACCTTTCCAAAAATTGAATTAAGGCATATTGGTCTATAGGATTTAACTTCATTTGTTGGGTGGTTAGGTTTATTTAAGAGTATTATTTTACCTTTTTTCCAATGTTTAGGAAAATATCCGGCATTTAAACATGAATTAAAAAGAGACAACATAAAGGTAGTCTTTTGTTGCCAAAGCTGTTTTATATTAGATGTTGTAATTTTATCTAAACCTGGTGCTGTTTTCGTTCGTAAATTAGTAATAATTGTATTTATTTCTTGGTAAGTAAAATTTGGGTCAGAAGGACCTAAATGAGGGTTAATTATGTGCTGCCGTAAGGTACTAATTAACTGCGAATCAGTTGCGAAACTGTCTGTTCTGAAAATTGTATCGAGAATATACATAATGGATTCTATATGAGAGGTGGTATAAGTTTGATCTGTTTTGATAATGGGAGGTAATGGAGTGACAGTGGTAATTTTATTAAATGCTAGTTTATATGGAATCCCAAATAGTGATTTTCTTGTTGCCTCGAAACATAAATTTCGCCATGATGTCATTTTGGCAGATATAATTAGGTCCTTATAATAACATTTGTAATCATAATACTCTCTTTTATAAGTATTCCGCAGTTCTATATTGTGGCATCTTTGATATCTCCTACGATGAGCATTATTGCGAGACCGTGTTAGTTGTAATTCAGCATTCCACCATGGTGTTATTCGTTTTTGTTCTTTAACATTCCGTTCACATTGCTTGACCCATCTATTAAATTTATTATAGAAGAGAGATAAAACTTGGTCTATTGAGTGTTTATTTGACTGAATATTAATATTTTCAAACCAGTAATCATTACGAATTAAGTTGTAGAGCCTGATCTTACCCTTCAACGTAATTTTTTTGATCGGTGTAGTTTTAGTATTAAACA